CCGCAGGTTCAGTTTTGGGTTCAAATTCAGGTCTGAAATCAGGTTCAGGTATTGATTCAGGTCTTGAGCCAAAGTCATTTTCAGGTTCAACCAGGTTCAGGTTCAGGTTCAGGTTCAGGTTCAGGTTCAGGTTCAGGTTTAAATTCAGACCCTGTTCTTGGGCTTGACGAGGCAGAGAATCTGCTCAGGGATGTGCCTCTATCTGATGACGTGGCAGTGGATAAGTCCTCATCATCTCTGCCAGCATCCACCTCAGGTCTGCCCACATCCACGTCAGCAGCATCCACTTCACTCCAGGTTCAATCGCAGCAACAGAATCTGCTAACCAAACCAGCCTCCTCGCTCCGTGCTGCCACTCCTGTTATTGTCACTCCTGCTGCTGTTACAGCTACCTCTGCTCCAGTTACCACCAGCAAAAGCATCCTTTCTCCCAGCCCTGTGGTCACCGCAGGTAGCAGGACAGGAACATTAACAGGGACAGCAGCAGGCGCAGGTGTTGTGGGAACAGCAGCCAAAGCCACAACAGGAGGTACGTCAGGAGTAATAGCAGGGGCATTATCAGGTGGAGTTGCTGTGGGGACAGCAGCAGCCAAAGAAGGCACAGGAGTGGTAGCAGGGACGGCAGCAGGTGGGATTACAGGGGAAGGGGGAGTATTTGCAGGGAGAGGAGCAGGTGCAGGTGGCACCATGCTTCGTGGGACAGGTGGCACAGTTGCCACGTCACCACCTGCATCTCCTGCCTCGTCAGCAGCAACGTTGAAGCCTGTATTGGGAACAACAGCAACACCATCAGCAACACCACCACGCCCTGCAACACCATCCCCGTCGCTATTAGCAGCTGTAACAAAGACATTGCCTGCCACTCCTGCAGCGGCAGCTGTAGCACAGTCAGTGCCTGCCACCCCTTCCTCAGCAGCAGCAGCAGCAGCAGCAGCAGCTGTAGCACCGCCTGCCACTTCTGCTGTAGCAACAGCTGTAGCAAAGCTGGTACCTGTCACTCCTGCATCATCTGTAGCAAAACCATTACCTGCCACTCCCGCAGCAGCTGTAGCACAGCCATTACCCGCCACTCCTGCAGCAGCAGCTACTGTAGCACAGCCGGCCCTCCTCAGTCCTCGTCTCACTCCACTGTCAGCGGCTGTAGCAGCCACAGTCCCCCCCAGGACTGCCACAGCAGCTGCCAGCACACCAGCAACACCTGTTGCCCTGCCTGCTGCTATCAGCAAAACTATCCCTGTCGGTGGCACTTCTATCCCCATCACCGGCAGCACGTCTACTCACACTGCCACTACTACCCTCACCACCACCAAGCCTACTCCTATCACCACGTCTATTCCCATCCGCACATCGACCCCTGCCACTTCAGCAATCTCCGAAGCTGACAGCCAGGCACTGGCCAAGCTCATGAAGGGAAAGCCAGGTCCGGGGGTTGGAGGTTCGGTGGCTGGAGGCTCAGGTGCAGTTGCAGGCTCGGCACCAGCCACGCCAGCAGCCTCGGCCAAGCCAGCGTCCGCAGTTCCCAAGCCTGCAGCGTCTGTTCTTCCTTCACCAACAGCAGGAGCAGCAGCAGGAGCAGGAGCAGCAGCAGGAGCAGCAGGAGCAACAGCGGCAGCAGCAGGGGCAGCCGGCACAAGTCAGGCCAGGCCGGTGCCTGGCACACAAGAAGCAGCTAAGCCAAAGACTCTTCCAGCTACTGGTGCAGCTGCTGGTAGCTCTGGTGCTTCCGGTGCGGCTGGTGCTGCTGGTGGTGCTGCTGCTGCTGCTTTAGCAAACCCAGCCAAACCAGCAGCTGGTGCAGCAGGTGGTGCTATTGCTGGGAGTACTGGCGGAGCTTCTGCTGCCGCTGCTTCGGGTGGGTCTGCCAATGCTGTTCCTGCCCGTACTGCTGCCGGTGCAACTAGCGCTGGTGGTGCTGCTGGTGCTGGTGGCTCTGGTGGTGCTGGTGGTTCTGGTGGTACTGGTGCTGCTGGTGGTGCTGCATCTGCTAAACCTGCAGCATCAGCTGCTTCAGGTGCCAAGCCCGTCAGCCCTTCACAGCTTACCTCTGCACCAGTTACATCCGCTCCAGTTACATCCGCACCAGTTACATCCTCAAAGGTTACATCCGCACCAGTTACATCTGCAAAGGTTACGTCCACACCAGTTACATCTGCAAAGGTTACATCCGCACCGGTTACATCTGCCAAGGTTACCTCTGCACCAGTTACACCAGGTGGTGCTGCTGCCACTGCAGGCTTGATTGCTGACGTGGTTGGTGGTGCAAGTGCTGGTGCTGCTAAAGCTGGTGCCAGTGGTGCAACAAGCAACACCATGCAAGATAAAACAACAAAGACAAGTGCGGTGTGATAGCATGAACTTTTTTATACACACAGTAGAAATGGTGAACATTCTATTGTAGAGTGGTGTAGGCGGGGTGAGTGAATAGCTGGAACTTTGGTTTTAGTTCACACCTAGTGCCAATGATTCTGGAAGTGTACCTTACAAAGTCGACCAACTATCACCATTATTTTCACGTTTATGCCCTCCCTTGCAATTGCAGCTTTTTTCGCCACACCACCGACAGCCCCGAAAATGCCGAGCGAGTCCCCTTTTTGATTGCGATCGCTCTGAGCCTAACCAACCGTTGATTAGTCTAAAATGACCGCTCTAACACGAAATTCACTCACTAAAACGCTCTTCATTTCCCCTCACATCCCCTCCTCCCCATCCCCCCTGCACCAAAGCCCCCCTTTCCCCATCACTAGTTTCTTGGGAATTCCGCGCCCATTTTCGACCACGAGGTATTACTGATGGCAGACCAGGTGGCACTGAACGCTAGAGTTTGCCACAAGAACGCTAGGGAATGGCTGAACATTGGCCGTCTTTAATCCATGGACGTTCCAGGTATTAGTTGCCAGGCATTGATATAGGCTGAGAGCCAAGCTTCTGCATCCGTTTCGTACTGCTCGCATTTCGCGCTCGCCGCTCGTCCCGCATCCGCGTTTTCTCCTGCTGCTCGGAATCCAAGGCCGGATATTGGGCAGCGGACTTTGCGGATTTGCGGATTTGCGGATTTGCGGATTTGCTCCCACCTCGTCGACATTTCAAGCAGCGCTTAAAATATCCGTATCGGATACTGCCTTTCTGCTGGCATCTTTTTGCTAGTTATTGGCGCTGTGATCGTATTAGCCCCGAAATCATGGCTAATACACATCGCATGGTCTTTCTAATCGCCGCTATTATTCCCTTACTCCTCCTGCTCTCCTCTCTTCCTTCCGCCGAGCCCGCCCCGGAAAGGGTCGGCGGAAGAGGCGGAGGGAGGGGCGAGCGGAGAACCGGCTTGCGCCCCGATCCGCGCTCGCGGAGGGGGAACGCGCGGGTTTCCGCATCACGATCCATCTCCCCCGCCGCTTCCCGCCGCTCCGATTCCGCCTCTTCCGCCACGCTCTCCGCCTCCGCCTCTTCTGGTTCCGCCTCCGCCGCAGCGTCCGCGGAGAAACCCGCGGGCTGCAGCTGCTACACCGTCCGCAACTCCTTCTGCTGCTGGCAGTCGCTCTGCGTCTGCCACAACGTGTGCTATAACGGATCCGCTCTTGTCGGGGATTTCGGCTCGCAGCCCTGCATCCGCGCGCCGCTCCCGGACGCGCCGGAGGAGGGTCCGAAAAACGAGACTCTCCGCGAAAAGCGGCGGCGGCAGCGGCTGTTGCAGGAGGAAAACCCTCTCGTGCCGGTGACGTGTCGCCGATTGGATAAATTCCGCCGGATTTTACGGATCACTTTAAAAGAGGCGCCTATAGACGGGATAGGGCAGCGCGACAAGGGGTAAGCCGTCACGCATTTGATATCTCGCAAAAGTCACTGTAATGAGGCGCCTGTAGACGGGTCACGGAGCACATTCGAGCAGGCACGACGTACCTGCACTGCAGCCTCTGGACGCGGATTGTTTCACCGTTACCATCCTCTTCCTCTTCCTCTTCCTCTTCCTCTTCCTCTTCCTCTTCCTCTTCCCCTCAACTCTCGTCCCCCCCTGGCAGGTGGCGCAAGGGCCGAGACAGCATCGAGTGGCGGAAAGGCACGACGTACCTGCAACCTCTGGAATCGGGCTGCCTCAACATCGCATCATTCTTTCTCTCCTTCCCTGCTTCCTCCCTTCTTTCCCTTTCTCCCCTCCCTGGCAGGTGGCGCAAGGGCCGAGACAGCATAGAGTGGCGAGCAGGCACGGCGTGCCTGCAGCCGCTAGACGCGGATTGCCTCAACGTCGCATTTTACCCACCCCTGATCTCCTCTCTGTCCCTCCTTCCCTCTCTCACTGGCAGGAGGCGCAAGGACAGCGAGCCCATAGAGTGGCGAGCAGGCACAACGTACCTGCAGCCTCTTCCCTCCTTCCCCCTCGTCCTCCCCCCTTCCTGGCAGGTGGCGCAAGGGCCGTGACAACATCGAGTGACGAGCAGGCGCGACGTACCTGCAACCATTTCCTTCACTTACTCCCCCTGCTCCTCCGTGCCTCTTCATCCTTTCCTCCCTCACTCCTCCCTCGCAGGTGGCGCAAGGGCCGAGACAGCATCGAGTGGCGGAAAGGCACGACGTACCTGCAACCACTGGACGCGGATTGCCTCAACATCGCGTCATTCTTTGGTACGATTCTGTTCTTCTTGCACAGGTTACACAGCCTTTAGTGTCTTTCACTGAATTTGATCACTTATAAGAATTCTCGAAAGTGATTTAAACACATGATATACAGTCTTTAGTTTCTATCACTATAATCAATCAACCCTATCTTCATCCTTCCCATCCATCCCCTCTCCGTCCCCTCTCTCTCCCCTTCTTCTTTCCTTCATTCATTTTTTGGTACTCTTCTTCGTTTATTGCAAAGGTCATGCAGTCTTTAGTGTCTATCCCTGTAATCAGTCAGCTCCATGTTAATCCTTCCCATCCATCCCCCCTCCCTCCGATCCCTCCCGCCCTTCCTCGCCCCACCCCCTCCTCTCCCTCCCCCATCTTTCATCTATCCCAACTGCCACATGCACCGCACTACAGCCCACCGTACCCTACCCGGTAGATTGCTTCATGCCCGCCTTACTCCCCTGCCTTCCCTTCTCCCCTTTTCCCCCGCCTCTCTTCCTTTCACTCCTCCCCGCCTCCTCCCCGCCTCCCCTCCTGCTCCAGGCAAGGTGGGTCAGCTTCTTCTCATCAACTGCGCTTCCAAGCCCGCCTTACCCCACCCGGTCGAACACTTCATGTTTGCACCTTACCGCCCCTCCTCGCCCCTCCTGCCCCTCACTACCCCCGCTCTCACCCACCTCCTCCCAGGCAAGGGGTCAGCTCCTTCTGATCAACAATGCCTCCAAACCCGCCCTACCCCACCCGGTCGATCGCTTCATGTTTGCATTTTTCCGCCCCTCCTCGCCCCTCCTTCCCCTCGCCGTCTCCCCTCTCACCCACCTCCTCCCAGGCAAGGTGGGTCAGCTTCTTCTCATCAACAACGCCTCCAAACCCGCCTTACCCCACCCGGTGGATCGCTTCATCTTTGCACCTTACCGCCCCTCCTCGCCCCTCCTGCCCCTCACTACCCCCTTTTGCCCCCCCCACACCTCCAGGCAAGGTGGGTCAGCTCCTGCTCATCAACAACGCCTCCAAGCCTGCCTTACCCCACCCAGTGGATCGCTTCATGTTCCCACGCGCCCCCCAGCTGCTGCAAGCGTAAGTCCAACCTTACCCCTTCCTAAGCATACAGTGCTCTAAGCCTGCCTTACTGCACCCAGTGGATAGATTCGTGTTCCCACGCGCCCCCCAGCTGCTGCCAGCGTTTGTGCTGTGCAACGTCTCGTGCTTTTCCATGTCACTCTCAATCAACCATCCACACAGCGTGCAGGTAGGGGGCAGGGACAGACAGCTGGCTGCAACGCCTCATGCTTTTCCGTGTCACTCTCAATCCAGCTGTGGATAGATTCGTGTTCCCCACGTGCCCACCAGCTGCTGCACGAGGCATTGCTGCCAGCTGTGCAACGCCCCGTGCTTTTCCGTGTCACTCTCAATCAACCATCCACACAGCGTGCAGGCAGCGGGCAAGGACAGACAGCTGGCACGTGGTGGTGTTGACTCCTGAGGGTAATGGTGGACACGGCAGTGCGGCCTGGGTTTGGGTACTTTGGGCTACAATGCACGGCCTATCATCGATCCTTGCTTGCCCCTCTCCCTTTCGATCCTCCCAACAGCGTGCAGGCAGCGGGCAAGGACAGCTGGCACGTGGTGGTGTTGAGGCAGCAGCTGTTGACTCTCTTTTCTCCCGCTTCCCCTCCTCTCCCTCTCGATCCCCCCAACAGCGTGCAGGCAGCGGGCAAGGACAGCTGGCACGTGGTGGTGTTGAGGCAGCTGCTGGGGCTGGCAGTGGCGCCAATGCTGGGGGAGACGGCCCTCAAGAAGGCTAGCATGGCTGCACGGAGGTAATATCTCTTTCTTTAACACAGGTGGTGTGGTGCGGCAGCTGCTGGAGCTGGCAGTGGCGCCGATGCTGGGGGAGACAGCTCTTAAGAAGGCCAGCATGGCAGCTAGGAGGTAATATCTCTACCTTAAACACAGCTGGCACGTGGTGCTGCGTTGAGGCAGCTGCTGGGACTGGCCGTTGAACCGATGCTGGGAGAAACGGCGCTCAAGAAGGTCAGCATGGCCGCTAGGAGGTGAGGCACTGGGTGCATCGCATGAGTGAATGGTGCTGGGCGATGCGATGCACGGCTCTAGCCCTGACACGTGGTGGTGCTGTGTTGAGGCAGCTGCTGGAGCTGGCAGTGGCTCCGATGCTGGGGGAGACGGCTCTTAGAAGGCCAGCATGGCCGCTAGGAGGTGAGGCGCGTCGCTGTGTGTGATGCATGCAGATACGTGTGCGGCATGGGCTGGTTGTTGCTCTAACACCAGTGTTGACGCTGCAGCTGCTGGGGCTGGCAGTGGCGCCAATGCTGGGAGAAGCAGCTCTGAAGAAGGCCAGCATGGCCGCTAGGAGGTGAGGCGCGTCGCTGTGTGATAGATGGGCGGGTACTGCTTGGGTGAGAGATGCAATGAATGAGAGTCAGCTGCTCTGACAGTGAATGAAGCTAGTGAGGCTGCTGCTGGGGGAGGCAGCTGCATGGGCTGGGTGCTGCTGGGGCTGGCAGTGATGTTGATCCTTGGCTTGGACAAGCTTGGATGGGTTTCGATGGGTTTGGATGGGTTTCGGGGTGCAGAGCCTTTAAAAAGAGGCCTTGTCAAATTGAAGCTTATTTCTTGTCTTTTTTTTCCTGCTTTTCCCAATCCAACATTGGATGGGTTTGGATGGGTTCGGACAGGTTTCTTGAGTTTGAGCTTGTCCTTGTTTTCTCTCCTTTTTTTCTTTTATTCTCTTTGGATGTGTTGGAATGGGTCTGGATGGGTTTGGACAGGTTTCTTGGCACAGAGCCTCTAGCCAGAGGTCTGGTTGAATTCGAGCCAGCATTTGAAGCAGCCTCGGAAACCCGGCCTCTGTGCTTCGGAAAGGTGGTCATTCCGGGGAAACTTAAAGCCATAACTTACCCTGGTGGCCCCTCAGAAGCCGAGATGTTTAAAGCCCACCTCGGATCATCCCTCGGGCTGCCCAATCCGCCTTTGCCACTTGGCGACAGCCCCAGTGTTCGCGCCAAGCCACGCGTGCAGCTTCTGTTCATTCGGAGGAACAGGACGAACGTGGGCGGGCGGCGAATCCTGGACGATGGAAGTGACGGAGCGCTGTACGATCTCTTTTATGACATGGGCTTTAAGGTGAGCAAATCAAGCCCGGGCAAACCTTACGACGAAATTCCTTCTGTTGACAAGGAGCCTGCCTCACAACAAGTGCCCCTTCCCTTTTCTCCTCCCTTCTCTTTTCCCTCAACACGCACCGCCTTCCCTCCACCTCCCCCCCCCACCCCACCCTCCTTCCCCCCACCTTCCCTCCACCCCCCCCCCCACCCCACCCTCCTTCCCTCCACCTTCCCTCCACCTTCCCTCCACCTTCTCTCCACCTTCCCTCCACCTTCCCTCCACCTTCCCTCCACCTTCCCTCCACCTTCCCGCCACCTTCTCTCCACCTTCCCTCCACCTTCCCGCCACCTTCTCTCCACCTTCCCCCCCTCCTTTCCCTCAGATCCGCAGGGCGGATTTCACGCGCCTGTCCTTCCGCCAGCAGTATGAAGCAGTTCTGAATGCAGAAATCATCGTGGGGGTGCATGGCGCCGGCCTCACAAGTGCCGCCGCTTTCGCCCGAAACCGCTCCGTCGTGTTGGAGATAATGCCGCACAACACGTTCAACCCGCGGTACTATTTCATGGCGGTCCAGGCTGGCGTGAGTTATTTTCTGCATCAGCTGCGGCCAGGTGCCAAGCAGCCATTGGACGAGGAGTTTGAGACGCTGACAGTGCGAAAGTGCTCCAGTGTGCCGGACTGTCGCAAGTATTTTTATGAGGACCGGCTTGTGAATGTGACTAAGGAGGATTTGGAAGATTTGAAGGTGCTTTTGGGGGAGGCTCGGACGTTTGTGCGTGAGGCTCGGTGGAATTTGAATTGGGCGGGAAAGCGGCTGAGGTCGCGGTACGAGACACTCTGCTCTGCAGGGAAGGCGAGGGATATTGGATGCCGCATGGATTTGATCCGTTCGCCGGTGGCCGATGTGAAGACGGAATGCGTGATGAAGATGGGCTGCTTGACGGTTAAACCTATGTTGGCGGATGACCTGGACGACATCATGTAGCAATTATACATTCGTTTTGTGAAGAATACCAAAGCCTTGTGAGTGTTTCTTTGTGTAAGGCATTTGTACTTCCAACTATAATTATTCGTGTAACTTACTGTACACTTTCCCTTGCTGATGTTTGCAGACGGATTACCAACTTCGACTTCCGTTGACCAGGTGGTCTCGAGTGGTGGACACGTGGATGCTCAACAGACGGTCAATCGGGCTTTCAGTAACAGGTAATAGCGTCAAGCCGTCAGTATTGCCGCCCGAATGACCTTCGCAGCGAGTGCGAAAACGCGATGTGCAATCTACAGTGCCATCTCTGTTCGCTCGCGATCTCGTGGACCGCACGCTGACCTGGTAAACCCTTCGTCAACTCGAAGCGACTAATCACAGCTGGGGCACACTGACGGTCCGTCCCCTTCCAGTATCCTCGCAGCTGGCAGTCAACGACCACACACCAGCTGGCAGCTTCGCTAACGCGTGAAACATCGCCGCCAACGAATTTACCGCTTCGCCGAGACGCGTTCAAGGTTCCCCCCCCCTTCCCCGCCGCGTTTCGGAATATATCTCAGGAGGCTGGCCAATTTCATTCCCATTTCCAACTTTTCATTTCCAACCCACCATTCATTTCCAACTCCCTTTATTCTTAGGTTTTGAAACAAGATCAGAAGTTCGAACACAACGGCAAGCAAGTAGCTCATTTTCCATGCGAAGACAAGATAAAAGTGAACGTCGAATCCAGAGCGGTAGTAAATCTCATAACTGCGAAATTGATACGGACCGACTATAACCGTCAAATTCAGTGAATTCCGTTCAGAAGCTTAGGCGGCTAGGTAACATTAATCCAGACAGCTGCGAAGTAGTCTGCACGTGTACCTCCTAATCGCCTCGTCAAATTCCGCGTGTATACGGGCGATCAGACCAGCTTTCGATCACAAACGCTTAGTCCTTTTTAGCGCGTGTACCTGGTAGTGCAAACTGCGTTAAATCTCAAAATCCTCTTCACTTTCCGAGGGCGAGCATAGTGATGAGTGAGCCTCGTAGCGAGGAATTCCGTAGCCCGAGGACGAGCGCCAGACTTAACTCAACCATTGCTACGTTCGCAACCATTCGTCTGGCAGACGGTATGGCCACGGTAGAAGGAAAGAGGAGACGAGGCACGGGGGGCATTCTAGTAGAGCCTGTAGGATCAGCAGGAACCGAGCATGACGCGGAGGGGGTCTTGGGGGGGAAAAGGACATGGAACACGATCTGCGAATGCGTGAGCTGGATGAGTCAGCAGCACGCCTCCTCTGCTGCTGCTGCTTCATCTCTTTGTGAAGGCTGTCGCGAAGGGCGGCAGAACGTAGCAGCAGCGCCGCAGCAGCCGCAGCATCGTGGCAAGAAGCGCGTTCGAGGCGAAGGCGAGTGCAGGAGCCTGGACTCTTGGGGGCATCATGGAGAGGAATTCTGGAATTTCGAGCCGGGGAGTGATACGTTACGGCGCAAGGGCGAGTGCAAGAGCTTGGACGATGAGTGGATGCTGGAGGCAGCCGTGTGGAGTCGTGACGATGTTCAATTGCTTCAGCAGCAGCACCAGCAGCAGCAGCACCACCACCACCACCAGCAGCAGCAGCAGCAGCAGAAACAGCAGCTCAATGTGTTTGGTGGCCTGGCTCTCTCCCCCCATGCTGTGACTGCTTGCCATGCTCTGCTGGGGGAAACTTCTGGTGCCTTTGCCGATCACAGCACTCAGCTGGAGCACACACAGGTGGCGCTGCTGGCGCTGCTGTGCGCAGCCCTGCAGGAACTCCTGCGACGCGCGTGTAATGAAGCCGCCGCTGCTTCTCCCGCTGCCTCTGCTGATGCCCGTGACAGGAGTAACGCTTTGGAGCACACAGTATCTGCTGTGCAGACGGTGTTGAAGCAGTATTTGACAGCTGCGAGGGCGTCTGGTAGCTCAGAGGGACCTGATCCAGCATTCCTGCAGCAAGTTCTCAGGTCATTCATGCCCTTGGCTGCTGTTACTGCTGCCTCTGCTGCCACGCCTGGCACTGCTTCTGTTGCTGACGCTGCTGGCGCTGCTGTTGGCGTAGGCCCAAGTCACGGAATGCCACATGCTGCCCACTCTTCTCCCGAGGAGAGTGCTTCTAGTGCTTGCGTCTTAAGAGTCGGTGGCACACACGCTACTACTACTGGCGTCTTCAGTGCAGAGGAGGAGGGGGCGATGCAGAACGCTCAAGAGGCAGGGTCAGTGCGAAGAGAACAGGGCTCGCCGCGGGGATCACCGCAAACACCTGTGCGGAAATACAGGGGAGTGAGGCAGCGGGGTCCTGGAAAATGGGTGGCTGAGATCGAAGATGCCGCCCGGAACATCCGCCGGTGGCTCGGAACGTTCTCCTCGCCCGAAGCTGCTGCCCGAGCCTTTGACAAAGCTGCCCGGGAGCTGCGTGGGCCCAATGCAAAGACGAATTTTCCGCTGCCCGGCACGCCAGATTCGGCAGCCGCTCGGCAAAATCGGGAAAGAGTGATTAACAGCTCAGGTGTTAAGGTGGGCATGAGAGGTTGGTTGCACTGCAGGCCCGAAACCCCACTAGAGACGCTGCAGATTCCCCTCCCAGGAGTCTCAGCAGCAGTTTTTGAGGCGTCTCAGATACCGCAAATGCAGCTGAAGACGGTGCAGGTTCCCCTCCCTTCGTACAGCCCTGTGGATTTCGTCTCACAGGGGCGTAACTCTGCTGGTGTTCCCAGGCCTCGGGCGGCTGAAAGAGTTGCAACTGCAGCGGCAGCTGAGGCACCGTTCAATCCACTTGAAAGGCCGTGTCGCCCTCTGAAGGGTGAAACGGCTGTAGGTGAGTCATTGAACCGTGGCGCATGGGTATCAACACCCCGCCTATCTGAGGAAACAGCTGAGAAGCAGCAGGCTGATGGCCAGCAAGGGATGCCGCAAGCAAAGGGATTGCCTCAGGCGAGTGACTTGCACAGGAGAGGATCGCCTGAGCAGAAAACTCACGGAGCGGTGGGACACACTCGGAGTGCTATGAGTGAAACCCCGCATCGCATTGTGGCGATTTCCCCTGCTCCGGCCGTTCACACCCCTCAACCGCGCTCCACCATTGCACATCTCCTGGCAGCTATGGTTCATGATAGGGTTGTGAAGGATGAGATTGGCAAAGAGGGTGGTGATGCTGCTGCAGAGGAGAAAAGTGAGGGTAGTTCCCCCTTGTGGGTGGCCGATGAGAGTGTAATGCAGGAGGGAAGGGATGCATGGGATTGGCCAGCACTACCATTAGGGTATTGTGAATACAGTGGTGGTGGGTGTGATGAAACGCACTAGAATATAGCTCCTGTGCGTGGAACTGCGATGAGGCATGACTGCTGGACATGCATTTTGGTTTGTACAGGGCCTTTGCAATGACTTCTCAAATATTGAAAGGAGTGTCAGAATGAGGAATGGATGATGCATTGATGTTGGTTGGGGTACATATAGCTAACCCTAAGTTTTGTACCCCCTAAGACAAACCTCACTATAGGCTACAACATTTGACACACCCCCATAGCCTAAGTGAGGGGTGTCTAGCAGAACCAAACGAGTACGGTCACAAGACCAGTCCAAGAAACGAAGCTCAGGGTGGATCACAACGTCACCACACAGTCTGAGCACAAACAACAGTGGCCACAAGGCCAGTCCAAGAAGTAACAGAGGTATATAGAAAGCAAAGTAAACAGTACACTCAAGCCTAAGCAACACGAGAACCAGTGTCAACAAGGCCTAACTGCACACAGCACCTCTGGTGGTCACAAGGCGGAAGCGCCTTGGTGAAGATGTCTGCAGTGTTGGCCTCGGACTCCACAAACTCAAAGCGACTGTGAAAGTGTAATGGTGCGAGCAGCTCTGTCCCTGGTGATCTGCAGGCCAAGGTAGTGGCGCAGCTCACCAAGATCAGTGCAGGTGTGTCTCTTCTGCAGTTCGGACTTCACGTGTGCCAAAGCAACCCTGTCAGGGGTGGCGAAAACAAGGTCGTCAACGTAGACCAGAACAAAGAAAGGTGTGGGGCCACGACGAACGAACAGCGACGGGTCAGCAGAAGACGGCTGGAACCCAAGGTCAGACAGGGTAGAACGCAGGGTGTCGTGCCACTCACGAGGAGCCTGACGAAGACCGTAAACCGGTCGCCTCAGCCTCCACTGGGTCCCAGGAGGGAAAGAGCCAGTGAAGGCAGAGGGACGACGCAACCAGACCTCCTCGTGAAGACTGCCCTGAAGGAAAGCAGTAGAGAAGTCGAGAGAGTGTAACTCGTAGTCTCTCTGTGCTGCTACGTGTAGTAACACCCGAAGAGTGGTCATCTTCGGGGTGGGCGCGAAGGTCTGAAAGAAGTCAACTCCCTCGCGCTGACTGAAACCTCTAGCCACGTAGCGTGCCTTGAAGACCGGAGGAGATCCCGGTGGCCGCTTCACCCTGTAGATCCACATGCCGTCGACTACGTTCGCCCCCGGAGGGGGAACCTCATCGACGTAGGTGCCTGTGGATCTGTAGGAGGCCATCTCTGCGTCCATGGCAGCTCTCCACTGAGAGGCCCAAGGCCCTGACACTGCCTCAGCGTAAGTGCGAGGAGTCGGAATGTCAAGGGCGTCGGGGTCACCCTCAGGGGCGAGGAGCATGGCACAGAGATGAGGGGAAGCGGCGGCCAGGAACTCTAGCTCAAACTGCCTGTCCTCTAGGGCGTCACAGCCAAGGGCAGACACACCCCCGACGGCCAGAGGACTGGAAGGAGGAGCAGCCACAAGAGCGGTGGCGAAGTCAAGGCGGCGGGTAGAGGCAAAGTCAGTGACTGCGGCAGTAAGAGCGGACACAGAGGACACAGAGGCACGAGGGTGAGTAACAAGCGAGGCGAGAACACGAGAGAGAAGAGGACGGTACGTGCGGTAGTAGTCTGTGACAGGAGTAGGGAGCGACGCAGTGAGAGCCGACTCAGGAGGAGACGGAAGCACAGACGGAGACGGACGAGGTGGACTAGAACGAAGTAAGGCAGTACGAAGGTCAGTGAAGGGAACAGGAGACGAGGGACGAGCACGAGGGGAGCGACGAGAGGCCCAAGTCTGAGAAGAAGGAGGGGACAACGAAGACTGAGAACGAGGGAAAACAGCGGGAGAGGGGTCAGGAGGAGGAAGCGAAGGACCAGAGACGGGAGGAGAGGGGGAGGAGGAAGGAGAGGGAGAGGGGAGACCAAGGGTCCGAAGACCCGAGACAGGAGGAGGAGACGGCAGCTGCTGCTGCTGCGGCTGCTGCGGCTGCTGCTGCTCCAGCGGCTGCTGCCCCTGCTGCTGTCGCTCCTGCTCCTCGAGCCGCTGCAACTCTCTCTCCTCTCTCTCCAACTCCAGCTGCTCCTCACGAGCACGGCGAACACGAGCCTGGAACCTGGTCGGGTAGGGGTGGGGGGAAGGAGTAGTGTCCGGGGCAGCGGCAGCCCCAGAGTCGACCTCCGAAGCACCAAGCACACCACCCCCAGAGGCAGCACCAACACCAGCTCCAGACCCAGGCTCTCCAGAAACCGAAGGGACACCCTCACCCCCAGACGCAGCACCCCCAGACTCCGCACCAGCACCCCCAGACTCCGCACGACCAGTACCAGCCCCCGGAAGACAAGAGTCCTCTGCAACCCGCGGCTCAGCTCCAACTCCAGCACCCCCAGAACCAGAGACCTGTACAGGGACAGTCGCAGGACCAACCTCCCGAGAGGGAGCACCTGCAGGAGGCGGCGAGGAAGACTGTGGGGAGGGAGGCTGTACAGGGGGGGCTACCGAAGGGGGAGGGCTAGCCTGAGACACACCAGACGGGGCTGGACCAGGGGGGGGAGGCTGTACCGGGGGAGCAGGCGGGGGAGCGGCTGTCAGGAAGAGGGGGGGAGGAGGAACCAGGAGACCTCGACTGGGGTACCTGACGTAGTACGGGGTGGACTCCTCGAAACGGACGTCACGGGAGTCAAAGAACCGGTGAGAGGGAGGGTGGTAAAAGGTGAAGTCAGAGGAGTCCTCAGGGAAACCAAGGAAGACACAAGGAACGGCGCGAGGCGAGAGCTTGTCCGCGGAGGTGTCGCGGACAAGAGCCAAGCACCCCCAGACACGAAACCTCGACGCGACACCAGGGGACCCTGTCCAAAGACTGGAGAACGGAGAACGGAGGAACGGGATCCCACAGGATCCTAACCGCTCTGATACCATGTCAGAATGAGGAATGGATGATGCATTGATGTTGGTTGGGGTACATATAGCTAACCCTAAGTTTTGTACCCCCTAAGACAAACCTCACTATAGGCTACAACATTTGACAAGGAGATGGGTGTTGCAATACAGTATTTTTAACTTATCCACTTGTGTGGGCATCGGGGCGCCGTGGTTTTGCAATTGAAGACATATTATTCCACCTGAGAGCCTGGATTTCACAGGCGCCCAGCAAGCCTCTGCCGAGTTCGCCACGTGACAATGTGAATGGAAGTGGGAAAATATGGTTGTTTACACCATGATTATATCAAAACATTAAGCGGATTAGTGTTGTGTTTTGGTGACACTGCGTCGTGTACATATTTACAACTTTTCCCTCAGTGCTCGGCAAAGTACAGGGGTGTTACTTGATTGAGCGGATCAAAACGAGGGAGCGGTTGTGCAAATTGGTGCAGTTTTTACATCGGTGTACAGTCGATGCCCAACCCGTGCACGCGAAATTGCCTTTCACGTTCCAGAAACCTTGCACCCGTGGGTTTCTTGCCGCGAAGTTGCACCTACGTTACAAGCACGTCGACCAATAAGAGCCACAGAAACGGAAGTCTGACTGATGAGACTGCAGTCAAACAGTCAACGGTGAGTTACAAAATTTTTATATAAGCCCTTTTTGCTTGATGCGAATTGACGAAACCACTGCGAAACGCAGAATCACTTATACGCACATGGGGTAGGCCAAAGTTGGGGGGCTCAACCGGGCATCATGTGTACTGTACGACTCTCAGCATAGCTGGAATGCGGCTTGTGTTGTAGCATCATTGACATTTTCGCGGGAAGGTTGACGATGTCCACTTCCGGGCACACCACGAATCTCAATGTTGACGGGAGTCGTACACCCGCTCATTGGCCTGCAAAAAGAGCGGAAAGTTGACCCAGAAAAACACCGCACCGCAAGGGTCGTTTCTCGCTTTTACCAACTCAACAGCCAATCAATGCTATTGCACATGGCACAAGAATCGCGTTCTCGAATGGGAGGGGAGATCGCTGACTCCCGTCAACAGCCGATCGTTGACCTTCGAAACACATTCTGTGCGCTGGCTCTGCGTGTATGGCTCAACGAATCGGCACGCAGAATGGCATTGTGATTTATGAAATTTGTCATTGTGCGACTCGCTCGCAAAATCAGGCAGCCCAACCCAAAAGCACCTTCTTCATTTTGCCCTGCTCAAGTAGAGCATGATAGTGGTACTTTTCTCAAGCGCAATTTTGTACAAAATACTATCAGCCTCATTCCCATTGTTGAACCTACAAGTAGAGTACTTAGTAGCAGTTCCAGTTAGAATTTTAAACAAGCCCTGCTGACCGCTAAAAGCTTGATGTTATCGTGGACCTGATTCAAAGTCCACGCGTCAACAGAGTCGGTTGAGGGTAGCACGAGCCTGCGGAGACTCTGAGATGGCAGCGGACAGTTACAACCGCCAGTAGTCAACTCTTCCCCGAGAATAAGGTCCGCCCTATTCCTCCGCGTGGGTCGCATCCAGCACACTCCCAACACGTCCCAGCACTACGAAAATCGTCGTACTGCACCCACTTTCCTTTCAACACTGAGTGCGGTTGAATGAGGTTAGCTCACGCAATAAAGCGGTAATTGCAATATATGAAATCTTTTGGGTATGTTTTCAGGGATATCGAAAGATTGGGCACTCCGAAAGAACGACTGGTGGCCCAGCACCTTTATCCACATTTGGAAAAATCCATTGAAATTTCTAGATCTCGTTTTGAAGTGGGAGCATCTTCAGCCTGAGGCTGCTGCTGCTTTCCTCAGAGACTTTCATACAGGCTGTTTACTCACATTATCGGTCATCTCACTACTCGTGTCCCCTCTGTTCTTCATTTCAAAGCTTTAATTCAAACTGAGTGCCATTCAACTCCATAGCCACTGAGTTAACGTTATGGACGTTTCCCACCCATCGAGCCGAGAGCATTCTGGCAAGGAAACATCCTCACACAAGCAGAATGATCTCACTTCGGCGAGACTAGAAGAAAAAGGTAATGCAGGCGTGCAGAACCTCTGCAACAGATCTGATTCTGATTCAGGATTGAATGTCGCTCTCAAACAAGCGTTTCTCGCGCTCTCAAATCTCCTCACTCACCTTCTGGCAGACAGGCTGCAAAAAGCAGATGGAAACCCACCTCCAGCTGCTTACAATAACCCCAATCCAAACTTGTCTGCTCCAGATGGAGGTCCTGGGTTCGATTCCTGCCGACAGGCTGACAACGGGCAGATCTCTGAGCAAGGAAACAAAAATCATGGGCTGGAAATGGAGTTACTACTCAACCTTACCCGTGTGGCAAGCATATTGACCCCACAGGTGCCACCAGTTGCTGCTACTAGTAGTTCCACTCCAAATCGAGCCCATTTTGCAGTGGATTGGCCGCAGGAGACACGCAGACATAATCGACGGCGCAAGTCATTCGGATGTGGCTTTAAGACACCTAGTAACACTCATAGAGGAAGATCACGTCTCTCACAGGGAACTGAAAGGAAAGCACAAGCAGAGGCAGCAGCAGCAGCACAAGCAGCAGCAGCAGCAGCAGCAGAGGCAGCAGCAGCAGCAGCAGCAGCAGGGGAGGAACAGACTGCATTGGAGGCGGAAGACCAGAAAACAGAGCAGCAGCAGCAGCAGCAGCAGCAGCAGCAGCAGCAGCAGCAGCAGCAGCAGCAGCAGCAGCAGCAGCAGCAGCAGCAGCAGCAGCAGCAGCAGCAGCAGCAGCAGCAGCAGCAACAGCAGCAGCAGCAGCAGCAACAACAATCCCAACAGCAGCAGCAGCAGTGTAAGCAGCAGAAACGCAAGTCTTCGCCACTCTCTACTCCTTGCCGCAAATACCGCGGAGTGCGGCAGAGAAAGGCGGGCCATTGGGTGGCAGAAATAGAGGACACAGCTAACAATGTGCGCAAGTGGCTCGGAACATTTTCCACTCCCGAAGCTGCTGCCCGCGCATTCGACCAAGCTGCCCGGGAGCTCCGCGGGCCCCGTGCAAAGACGAATTTTCCGCTGACCGAGGAGCAGGCGGGCAGTGGTGGAGAGAGGGATTATGACAGGGAGAGGGCTGTAAGGAGAAGATCCTCCAAAGGAGTTGTGGGTGTACATGGGGGTTTTGATTCTGGTGGTGGTGATAAGGATGAAAAAATTGTGGGTGGGATGCTTCATGGTGGTGTGGGTGGGGAAGGGTCGTCATCGCCTAGACATAATGCACCCGTATGGGAAGGGTCCTGCAATGTCAGTATGTGTGGGGGAGAATCAAAAGAGCTGGGTTCTGCTAGGAGTGTGGATGGGAAGGAGCAGGAGAAGCGGGACCAGGAGGAGGACGTAGACGAAGCCGAAGAGGGGAGTGCGAAGGTGATTGGGAAGGACAATGATGGAGGGGAGGATGGAAGGGAGGATGAGGGTCAATATGCACGTGGATACTTCATGAATCTGATTTCAAGTGAAAGTGCATGTGCAAATGCAGGGAACACATGCACGACGGCTCTCGACTCAAGAGAGAGTGCATGTGTGGCTGTAGGAGATCCCAACAGAGGGGCATGGGCGTGTGCATTTACAGAACCAGCCTACCCTTCGCCTGCCAGCTATAAGATCGCGGGACTTGGCTCTCAGCTTGCTGCCCCTGTTGCTCCGGAGATCGCTAGTGGAATGCGCTTGCTGCAAGGGCAGGAGTTGGTGATGGGGGGAGCGGCATTGATTGGGGTTGGAGGAGAGCCTTTGCTTTTTGAGAATACTCTGGTAGATACACGGATCACGGCAGGCGCAAGCAATCTGGCAGTGCTGATTGGGAATACCCCTGACGGTTCAGTGATGGCAGATGGAGAGCGTGTGCTGGTCGGGGATGCTCTGGAAGAGGGAGCGGTAGTGGGAGGAGCAAGCAATCTGGCAGTGCTGATTGGAGATGCTCTGGAAATCACAGAAGTGGAGCGCTTGGTGCTTGAAAATGCTTTGGAAGAGGCACGGATCGGGGGAGGAGCAAGAAATCTGGCGGCAGTGATTGGAGGAGAAGGAGCACAGGTCGCAGGAGGAGAAGATGATCAGGCAGAGCTGATTAAAGATGAGCTACGATCTGAGAGGATGCCGCTACACTCAGATGGATTTGGGTGTGCAGGGGACAGGAAGCTGGCAGATGGCTTTGGATGTGCTGGGGATAGGAACCCGGCAGGGCAGTCCGGAGATGAAGGAGCGGAGGAGGAGGAGGAAGGGGAGCGTTGGGAGAATTCAAGGAAGGAAGAAGAGGAAGGGATGCAAGGGGATGCAGAGGAGTGGAATGTGGTGCTGAGTCACATGCAGGAGGTTGCTGCTACTGCGTCTTCAGAGTCAGGCAATGATGGGATGGACACTTGGATACTGGAGGATATAATGCCGCTTGATGGGTGACTGCAGGGATGGACGCTTCTTCAGGTTGCTGCTACTGCATCTTCAGTGTCAGGCAATGTTGGGATGGACACTTGGATACTAGAGGACATAATGCCGCTTGATGGATGACTGCAGGGTAAGACCGTGGAGGGTATGTCTGCAGAGGGTGTGACTGTGAAAGCTGAAACAGCAGAGGGTGTGATTCCAGAGGGTATTAGAGAAAGTGCTGCAGAGGATGAAGATTTTTAGATGGGAAAGCATTTGCTGCAAGAGCAGGAATTGGTGATGTGGGGGTTGGGAGATCTAGCAGCGTTTATCCGGGGTGCCCCAGAGGTCACACATGAGCCTTTGCTTCTTCGCGCTCGGAATGCTCCTGCAGTGGCACAGGTCATGCCAAGCGCAAGCAACCTCACAGCGCTTTTTGGATATGCCCTTGCTGCTCCAGAGATCACAGATGAGCCTTTGCTTCTTCGCGCTCGGAATGCTCCTGCAGTGGCACAGGTCATGCCAAGCGCAAGCAACCTCACAGCGCTTTTTGGATATGCCCTTGCTGCTCCAGAGATCACAGATGAGCCTTTGCTTCTTCGGAATGTTCTGGAAGAGGCACGGGTCACTTCAGGAGCACGAAACATGGCTGCGTTGATTTGGGATGCCCCTGCTGCTCCAGATATCACAAAAAGCCTTTGCTTCTTCGAGATGCTCTGGAACAGATGCAGGTCATGGCAAGCGCAAGCAATCTGGCAATGCTTATTGGAGGTGCTCTTAAAGAGGCACTGGTCGCAGGGGGGGAAGATGATCGGGCAGAGCTGATTGGAGACAAGTTGAAGTTTCTGAATGGCCTCCCAAATGGCTTCACAAACGACTTTGCAAACAGCTTCCCAAATGGCTTCCCAAGTGGTCACCCTGAGAAGATGCTACTGCACTCAGATAGCTTTGGGTGTGCCGGGGACAAGAAGCTGGCAGGGCGGTCTGGAGAGACAAGGGAGGGAGGGGAGCGTGGGGAGCTGAGGAAGGAAGGAGAGGAAGGGATGCAAGGGGATGCAGAGGAGTGGGATGCAATGATGAGTCACACACAGGAGTTTTATGCTGCACCATCTGCAGAGTCAGGAAACGGTGGGCTGGATGCTTTGATGCTGGAGGACCTAGTGCCACTTGATGGGACTCTAGAGGGCGTGACTGTAGGCGGTGTGACTGTTGAGGGTATGACTGTGGAGGGTGTGGAGGGTATGACTGTGGAGGGTATGACTCCTAATGGTGTGAGTGTGAAGGGTGTGACTCCTAAGGGTGTGAGTGTGGAGGGTGTGACTCCTAACGGTGTGAGTGTGGAGGGTGTGACTTCAAACAGTGTGGGTGTGGAGGGTGTGGCTTCAAAGGGGGTCACTGTAGAAGGTGTGCCAGCAGTTAGTGGTTCAGTGGATGACGTAGCTTAGGAGAGCAGCAGCTCTGGCTGCTTTGATAAGCTTCTATTCATGGAAAAGTGCGGATCAGTGATGAGTATTGCGAGGGGCGGTATTTTTGTGCTTGTTTGTATCATTGGCAAGGCATGAGGAAGGGCTAACGAATAACACCCAAAGAGTTGGGTGAGAATTCTGAGGCTATCATTGGGAAAGGGATGCTTGAGTAGCTGTAAATATTTGAGGTGAAGCTGCGTATTGCATTTACAATACGAAGTAATCATGGTATTGTTTTTTGGGTGTCCCTACCAGAGACTGCTAAGGGGAAGGCCCAAGATCCATAATGTATGTACCCTCTTTTTTACTAGCATTTCCATCGGCAACCCATACTAGTTAAGATATATGTAAATATATTTGCAATCAATCAAAATCCAAAGTTAATGGTGTGAGAGTCTATTTGGTATACAAAATTGGTTGGGCATAGACTATTGAGTACACAGCATGCATTAGTGTTCTTGCTACACACGAATTTCTGGTGGCGGGTACAATCTGGGCACCCTTTTTCGAAACCATGTGCTCAGCAAAATCTTGTACGCTGGCGGCTAGAAAGCCATCCATTGCCTGCCGCGTGGAAACCGTACCAATCAAGCCCCGCTGTGCTGGCTATGATGTAGGGCTTGGTGTTCCGGGTGCTTTATCCGCCTGAACCATATTCTCCGAGTAGAGGTTTCCAGGACTTTGCTAAAAGCCAGTGATAATGAACCACCCCGACAAGGGATGAGAGATATGCGCGAGATATCCATTTGCTTGCAGATGCGCAAGATTGTCACACTGCCTAGTCAGCTTCGGACTCGCCCTGCTAACGATTATTTTGCTGCTTCATCGAATCGCCTGTCTCGTTCTTCTTTTCGCGTGCCACTGATCGGTTGAAGCACGCGTGGCTTTCGCAGCGAAGGAAAGACATGGGTTCGAGTTCTTCCTTGCTTCAACTCCAAGACACCCTCTTCTCTTTCACCCCTTTCGAACCAACAAGGGTACCTCAAAACACATCTAAGAGCCCCGCTATGACGCACGCGCGTCAACGTCAAGAGCCACGCGTCAACGTCAAGAGCCACGCGTCAACGTCAAGAGCCACGCATCAACATCACGCGGCGCGACGTGAATCCCCCTGATTCTCGCCACTTCCTTATAGGCTGGGTGGATCCTTCCGCTGCTAATGATGGCCAGCGCTCGTTTGGTGAAGCCTTCCCTCTCGCGGGGTAGTAGGGGGCTGCGTTGAGGGCTCCGCAAGCAATGGAGTCAGATCTGTGCTGTCGCTGTACGGACATTTGTCCGTCAGGCTGAGTCAGCCTCCCTCACCCAGACCAATCGGAAGGAAGGCCTCCCTGATGCATGGGATCGCGCGGGTGCGGTGGAGATTCCGTGCATGTGACATCGTCAGAGTTCTAGCGTCGTAATTTCTCCAGCGAATTCCACCTGGCTCGTTTCTGAGCTACTACCACAGCAGACCTAGGTCCCAGGCCCAGCCTCCCAAAAATTGAACCGGCAAAAACCTACCCCAAGGTTTCCTCCAGGTTACCCCGCTGTAGGTAACCCAAAGGATTCAGTATAGGATTCCGCGAGGTTACCTCAAAGTTCGTGGTGACCCCGAGGTTACCCACATGAGGTGACCTGCGGGAAACCGCGAAGCTACTGCAAGGAAACCTCTCCCAGATTCCTGGAACGAATCATGCGCGACCTTGGTACGCGCTGTGAGACTGTTCGCGACCAGCAAATCATACAGTACACCAAATTATTTCTCGTTGTCATATAATAATGTAATTAGGGTCATTTTGACTCATTTTAATCGCTGATAGTATTGATGCTATTTCATAAAGCCTGTTTCCATCGTCTAAGACTCATTTCCTGTATATGCTAAATATACCAAATAAAGAGTGCGCCATATAAAGATGCCCGTACACGATTCATAACAATGATGAATACATTCAAAACACAATGTTAGGACTTACACCACCGTGCAAGTGTGCAAAAGACAAACTATGACTGCACAGAGTAAGTTTCAGATCAAATAGAGATGCAAATATCTTTGAAAATAACACTTCTTCAGAATCAGGTCGTTGATTCATAGTTCCTGTCACACCTGAGTAGTGAACACAACACAGAATGGGAACATGTCAAGACCCAGACGGACTGGGAAACACTAGTGCGAAATTACAGCTGTCTATTACCGAGTGGCGAACGTGCTTACCAGGCGAAGAGAATCTGGCAGCTAGGAGGCTCGGTGAACTAGCGCCTGCAAAATCAAGGCGCAAATTAAGACGCAAGGGCATCGGATTGCAGTGAAACATACAATGACAATAAGAAAGCAAGAGCAAACTGGGTGGCTGACAAAGAGAAATGTGGCTTCAACCTGCGAAACAGGATGACGACATGATGCCAAACAGAACGAGCGGCGCTCATCCAGAAACTCCAGGGGACATAAATCATAAATTATCACATCACGGTCATATCGCTTACCTCACGACCGCTACTAAGAGCCTCGCCGCGACAACGAGATCTACGGCAGTACGTGATGGCGGCACAAACCCTGGCATCGCTTCCGCCATCGGTAATCTGCCATAAAGAAACAATCATCAGAGAATATAGAAATTACTCGTTATTCGACTTCGGCAATACCGGAAACCCTATGAAGTCCATGGTAAAATACTGGAAATTTAAAGGATCCTAGTCATAGAGCGTGCACGGACAGCTTTCTGACAACTAAGCTCCAAGTAGCGACGATCGCGGAGCTATGACGCCATGGCGAGTTGGAAAAAGCGTGAGATGGATGATTCAACAACTGAATCAGAGCAACTGTTAGAACCACTGAAATACACTTCGACGCATCACCAAAAGGATCTGCGGTGCAGAAGTGACGTGGAAGGATTTGATTGGTGACAGTTATTCTGCCTGCTTCTCAGCGAAACTTATCAGAATACAACGCGATATGGTGAGGCGCGTTAACCAATCTCATCATTCAGCAGTGCTGCTAGAACTTACACTATTATCGAAACCTGCTGCGGGTCAGCTTCGGTTTCCGAAACAGTGCGACCAAGCCAGTGGACTAGCCTCGTTCCGAGGCAGTGGGGTTTCCTTGAGGTAACCTCGAAACTCTCCTGCATCCTGATTGGTCAATTTGTTTTCTCGATAGTAAACGACATTCTCGTGAATTTCGCTTGATATCGTTGTTGCCCTCATGTTTCCTGTTGGGTTCTTGAGGGTAACCTCGCGTGCGATGCGTTGAGGTATCCCACGATTTCGAGCCAATTTCGGCAGTAGAATTTTTGGGATGAGCCACGCCATGTCTTGGCAATCGTACATCGATGATCACCTTATGTCTCGCTTGCCGTCCGGGCAGCTGAAAGCGGCTGACATTTACAGTCAGGATGGCGGCGAGCCTTGGGGCAGTAGCCCCAACATGCCAGCGGTAAGATGTGAATCATGTAAACACAGGAAGGGTAAGTCATTATGGTTTTTTTTCTTCTTCTTCTTCTTTCTTTCTTTCTTTCCTCCTTTCTTTCTTTTTCTGAAATACCTCTAACGCGTGAACTGATAAACATGATGTTCCCACAATCCCCAGTTACCCGA